CCAGGGGCACCACCGCCCCGCGGCACTTCTGCATTTTGGAGGTGAAGCTCGACGCCGCCGGCGCGCTCAGATCCTCCGCCGTCACGGCCACGAACTCCGAGACGCTGATCTGCTCGGGCATGTTGGAAGAGGGACGTTACCTTGGGGGGGGGGAGGAGGAGGAGACCAGCAAGCCGCCCTCCTCCTCCGAGGAAGGAGGAAGCAGACGCGGAAACCGAGAGCCTGGGTGGAGGGGGGGGAGACAAGAATCTGGGGGAAGCCGCCTCCGATGTGTCCGCCCCGACCTCCGGGCCACCGCCGGTCACATTTCCCGGCTTAAGCTTCCCTCCGCGCGCAACCGACGGGCGAGCGCGCTTTCCCTCCCGCGCCGTCCTCCCTGTCGATCTGCGCGACACACGGGCTTGCATGGCGGTCACGTGAAGATCGTGTTACGCCGCGGCCCGGGGAGTCGGATCCGTTTAAAGGGCAAGTGCCTCCGATTCTTTTCACACGCGCACACACACACGCACGCACGCAGTAGATCGCCCTAACCCTAACCCCGCCTATCGCCACAAAGTAACCAACCCGTATCCCAGCCGAACAGATCCAGGGCTCGTGTTACGCCGCGGCCCGGGGAGTCGGATCCGTTTAAAGGGCAAGTGCCTCCGATTCTTTTCACACGCACACGCACACGCACGCAAGCACGCAGTAGATCGCCCTAACCCCGCCCTCGACACAAAGTAACCGACCCGTATCCCAGCCGAACAGATCCAGGGCTGTGTGGACGCGAACGAAAATCCACACAATGGAAGTTACCTTGGTGACTACAGTACTCAAAATCTGGGACTTTGCTTTCTTTCTTTCTTTCTTTTCTTTTCTTTTCTTTTTTTTGGTCTTCAGTGTTGGAGGCCAAAAAAAAGTAACTTTCCAAGCTTTGAGGAAAGTTCTACTGAGGTCAAGGTGGGGGCTTGCTCTCAAGTTATGTAATGTTTCTTCTAATGATGTTTCTTCTAATGATGATCTGGGGGTTTGAACTCCCATCTTCGGGCTCTGCAGCCACATACTGCTGAGCTACCCAGGCAGCTCAATAGCTTCATTAGACCTCTAAAATAGATACGGTGTGATGACCCAATGCAGCATTCCAGAAGGCAAGTCAAACAAATAGGGGTGTCTCCAATTCAAAAGCTTAAAACTTTGAAACTGGATCTCAGATCAGTACCATCTGCTCTTGCTGTGTGCCAGATATTCTGGTTCATGAATGTAGGATATTGTGTTTTCTGTGCCTATGATTCAAAAAGCCAGGGAATGACCTGGTATTGTGCACAATATCATATCGGAGTTGCCAGCAGGAAGAAGGATGCCAAGTTTTACACAGCAAAAGGCAGCCTGACTGTTGACAACACCAAGGGCAGCAGTCAAGATGGTCTACATGATCCCCTCTTGAGCTCAAGACTATTCACACTAAAGTGTGGCTGTTTTAGCATTAAGGCATTCTTCCCATAAACAACATTGTGGTGGTCAGATTGGCTTGAGAGGGTGCAGTGACAAGGGACCCAAGACCTGGTGAGCACTGATCAACACTTTGTGCCGAAGCTTGGTGGGAAGGTAGTATCCAGCTCATCCAGATGTGACCTTTGGTTTACTTGCACTGAGTCAACCTGATGGTGTACATTTGTCAGGATACATGGCTGCAACAGCATACATGATGCTCTGTGTATTTGTAATTGCATTAGTTCTGGTAGCAGATGATGAGCTTACTCATCTGCCTCTGGGGCAATTTTGAAGCATGATGATGTATCCAGGTAAAGGGGGAAGGTCCCTCCTCCTTTCCACTCTTCCTCGGTTGATGCCAGTTTCATGGTGATGTATTTTTGGGCACTGGAATCTGTTATTCTCTTTTGTCATAGCTTTGCCAGTTGCGGTTTGAAGCATGAGGACAGATTTGAGGGAAAGAGGGAAGGGACAAGCAGGGGATTGACCCAACCTAGTGGTTTCTCTTACGGGAGGTGAGGCAGAAAACTCCTGCATGGGCCTGGCTTGAGGATAACCCATAGATTCTCCACTCCCTGGTGGCAGGTGGGGCCACATGGTGGCATAAACCCACATGGTTAACTGCAGATCCTGCCACCTGGGGTTACCATCAGACAGCAGGTGGGCTGGTTGAGTCAGATCCTTCCTCTATGTCAGCACCACGTCTATTGGCAAGAGCAAACAATAAAAGTTATCGTCTTTTTACTTCTAATTCTGTTTCTCTGTGTGCTTATTTCTATTTCCTCACCCCTGAAATCATTTAACTCAGCTGACAACTTTGAAAAAAAAATATGTTTAGTGTTATGCCAGTCATGGTAGATGAGGAATACCACATGGTTCAAGAACTACTCCTTTAGGTGCATTTAGGTTTAGGTGATAATGAGGTGGGTGGGAGAAGACTGTGTTTGATGCACCTTATATTGACTTATAATAGCTCTCTTCAAATACTTGAAAAATCATCATACAGAGGAGCGAACATTCTGTTCTCTATCATCCTAGAGCATAGGACATGTAATAATGGGCTCAAGTTAAGGGTAGCCAGATTTCGGTTGAATATCAGGAAAACGTCCTAACTCCTCCAACAGCACAGCAGTGGAACCAATTGCCTTGGGAGGTGGTGAGTGCTGGAAGCATTCAAGATAAAATTGGATAACCATCTGCCAGATTTGCTTTGATTTGGATTCCTGCATCGAGCAGGGGGTTGGGCTAGATTGCCTTATAGACCCCATCCAACTCCATTATTCTGTGACAGCAGGCAGACAGCAAGCAGCTACTTGTATGCTAATGTTTTTATGTTTTTTAAAAAATTGTTTTTGATATTCTGTAAGCCGCCCAGAGTGGTAGAATATACCCGATGGGCGGGATATAAATGAGAGCTGTATTAGTACAAATGGAAGTAGTTGCTTTTTAAAAGTGACATTCCAAGCTCTGGGTGTTACAAGGGAACCAATTCAACAGAGTCAAAAATTTCACAACTGTTACTAAGGGCACGGTTACACTGACAATAAGAACTGCTTTTGAAACAGGTTTTGCATAATTAAATTCAGTTTGAAAATTCCCAACTACATGATGCACAGCAAAGCCCACTTTTTTTATTGCAAAGCAAGTTTTTTAAAGTGGCCAGTGGGGACTTTTTAATTTAACACACTTAGGGAATCAATTCTTTATGAATCACTTTGGGCAATGTGAATGTTCCTGTTGTATTAAATACTCCCTTTGTGGATTGTCATGGGTTTCCAAAATCATGTAACTATGTCACTTTTTAAAAAAAAAATTTAAAGAGAGGGAAATGTATAGATTCGAAAGGAGGCCTAAAAACTGTAATACTGTGCAACATTCAAAACAAATGGGAAAAAGAAATTTGGAGTCATTGGCGATGCACCGGAATCAGTGAAAATGGAAACTGCATGGTTTGCAAATATGTTGGTTAATGAAATGATTTAAAATCCCATGTGTAGTTTCCCAAAGTAGTTTTAAGCCCCTACTTTATATCATAGTAGTAATTTTCAAAGTTAATGTGCACAGCAATACAGAAACTATGTGACTGAAAATCTATTTTAAATATGTTGGACCTGAAATCAATATAATCAGCAATGTAACCATGCCCTAAGTCAGTTGAAGAATCTGTTCCAGGAGTTGGGAGGGTGGGTTTTGGGGGGTGAACTGTACTTGCTTTTCTCTTTTACACAATGTAGTAGAAAGAAGTCCACATTCACTGCCACCCGGAGTGACTTGTACAATTCCACAAGGCTGCTGCTAGGAAAGGGAAGGGAGACAATTTTAGTGGATCAATGATTCCGCTGCGTACTTTGCTCTTCAAAGCACAGCAAAGTATGCTGCTTATATACCACCTAAAGTGCTTAAAGCACTCTTTGAGTGGTTTGCAATTTAATTATGCAGGCTACACATTGGTTCCCTCACCTCCCGGCAAGCTGGGTTCTCAATTTATTGACCTCGGATGGATGGAAGACTGAGTGAACCTTGAGCCAGTTACTTGGCATTGAACCCTGGTATGAGCAGAGTTTTGGTCGCAGTACTGCCTTTTAACCACATAACCATCAAAAATAAATAATAACCCAGTGGTTATTGTTACCTTAATAAATAATAATAACCCACCACGAGGTTCGTCCTGTACCATGAAGCTCTTCAGCCTTTTGATGGTGACATTTTCCTTTCCTTGGCCTGTCTGGGAAAGAATCAGTGAAGCAGAATTGGGCAAGCAAAAAGCTGTAACGAGTAAGCGCGTAACCACTGGAACAAATGTTGCAATGGTTAGCGTGCCAAGTAATGTCAAGCTGGGTCCAGATGATTTTTTTTCTTTGGCATTTTCATGTCTGGGCCTCTCCTTTAGCTTCCAGAAAAGTTTTATAGGCTGAAGCACATTTGAGAAGCAGGAAGTGTTTGAAGGGGAGAAAACAGATCAGATTAATATCCACTAGCTGTGGTTTCTTTGCTTCAGTAGAAGTGATGCAATTGGTCTGGAGTTGCTTCCCCCTCGTCACCTCTCTCTTTTTGTTTACCCTTTTCTGACTTTCTCCCTCCCTCCGGTATTTCGATTTCCTGTCAACTCTTCTGCTATGACTTTCTCCCCTATCTATCATGTTGTTTTGTCACAAGTCAATGATGCAACAGCACCAGGAAGCCAATTATTTTATAGCTTAACACAGACTGTGGCTAAGGTTTCATGCAGATGGCGCATTGGCTCCTCAAATATACCTGACTGTGTGCTGATGATATTGGGGTTTTCCCCCCCATTATCCTAACAAATACCTCATGAACTATCCACTGTTACAAAGAGTGACACAAAACCTGGGTCAGTGAATTTTTAAAAATCCCTTCATCCTGGGACATAATAAGCACTTACAGATAGTTTAAATGTTAACAGCAATCCATAAACAAACAAGCAACAAACAAACAATATAGGATATTTTTTAAAATAATGGTTTCAAGAGTTTCTTCAATGTTTTCCAAACAGCTGGGGTAAAACACAGCTGAATTCCAAAAGGGATTGGAAGTGGAGTGAATCCAAAGGCTCAAATGGGAAGTTTTGACTGTGAAAGCAGATATATTAAAAAAGTAAGGGGTTTGTCGCATCGGCAATAAGAAGTGCTGTTGAATGGGTTTTTTCCTAAATAAAATCAGTTTGAAC